TAGCCGCTAACCTTAAACCCTAAACCCAAACCCAACCCCAAACCCTTGCCCCCGAAACCACAAACCCCTAAACCCTAAACCTTCCGCCCCTACATTCCTTGGTCCTCCAAACAATGCGGAAAGCTCCAGAATCATGGCGCCTTCGCAGAAAAGATGCTGCAAAAACATGAAGACTCAGCGTAGGCCTGTATAAGCCCTAAACCATAAACCGACAAAAACCACCGCAAAAACCCTTGCGAAGCCCTGATAGAACTCCCACTACAAGCAGTGAGCCTCGCAGATGCAGTCGCTCTGCGAGGCAGAGCCTTCGTCACCAGTAGACCTGGGCGTAGGGTTAAGGGTTTAAGTCCCTAGGGTTTAGAGTAACAGGCACTTTGGGCTTCCCCATGGGCAAATTTGCACATAGGGCTCGCTAGTAGCGCTGGGGATCCTTATTCGAGTACTTTAGAAACTTGATGGTCCAGGAATTCGTGACGGCCCTTTAAAGGGGCTGGGGTCTAAGGTTTCAGAATTTGGGCGTGGCAGGCTTCGCGTTTAACCTTGCGATGTCTAGGTTTCCGGGCTTCGGGTCCGTAAGGTATTCGGGTGGTTTAGGAGGTTTCGGATTTCATCTACGGTTTGGGCTTTAAGGACGCTGGCATGACAATTTCGGCGCGCTTTCGGGGTTGAGGGGCTTAGGGTTAAAGGTTTCGCCTGAAGATCCATGGGATCTAGCGTGCTAGTCTCCTAGGGTTTAGGGTTTAGGGCTTCGGGGTGTAGGGTCTTGGGCTTAGTTTTTAGGCTTCGGGAGCGGTTTTCGGGTACCGGGGTGCGATGTTTATGGCTTATAGTACCTAAACCCCTAAACCCCTAAACCCCCCTTAGGGAAAAAATAAGATATCCCAAAGGCCTACCTAGCAAAGCCGATGCAAGCAATGTAACAGCTAGTAGAGCCTTGTCAGCATCTAGAAAAGGCTCTTGTATGTAAAACCCAAACAACCACCAGCTGGAAAACAACTACAAAAACCCCACAAATCCTGAAGAAAAGCCTTCTGCCGGGGAAAGCCGTACACAACCCAAGATAGGCCTCAGAAAACACCATGATAAACTCGCAAGAAGCTTGAGAGGAGCCTGCTGACCCAAGGAAAGCATGTAAAGCCAAGGAAGGTCCTTGAAAAAAAACACAACAGCAGCAGAAGTAGTAGAAGCAGTAGCAGAAGCAGTAGTAGCAGGGAGTAGTAGGGAGCAGTATAGGGGTTTGTTGTTGTTGCTGCTGTTGTAGCAGTAGTTGCAGGTCACATAACCCATCAGGATCCGTGTTTGGGTGCTTGTATCCCCAAGCATTGCCTGCTTGCTACGTCCCTCTCCAAGTACTGACTCGGAAAATTAGAAGCGGGGGTAAACAGTTTACGGCTTAGGGCTTAGGGTTCAGGATAAAGGATCGACGATTTCGGGCTTAGTGGACGACGTGTCGACGACTTCCCAAACGCGTAGTCACCCATCCCAGCTTCCCCTGAAGTTGGTGCTTTTAGGATTTAGAGAATTACAGGGTTTGGTTTGGGTAGGAGTAGGGAATTTAGATTAGAGGGCTTCGGGCTTCGGGAGCTTAACGGTAGCATTTACGTTTGAAGCCACGCTGCGTGAACTCCGGGCATTGGGTGCAGAGGTCGTCGCCGATGGAGGCCTGCTTGGTCAGCACTCCCAAGGCCCGGGCTAGCAGCAGTTTAATGTAGGGGCCTTAAAGATTAGAATAGGGTTTGGGGTATATTATTCTACTATAAATACAGTAAGGAACCCCCAAAATGCTATAGGTAATTACTTAGGCCCCTGTATTAAATGCCTCGTGAGCCTTCGGGAAATCCCACCGTTGGTCGGTGCCCGGGGCCCTAAACCTGCAAGCATTGGCTACACTAGGGTTTAAGGTTTAGGGTTTAGGGAGCCCTAGCCAAAATCCCTAACCCCATAAGCTCCTAGACCACCCAGAAGTCCCAAACCTCCCAGCCCTAAAACCTAAAACCGGCAACCCTAGGTCGAATGCGCTAAACCCTAAACCCTAAAAAAAAAAAAGTCGGATAGCCTAAACCCTAAACCCTAAGTCCTGAACCCAAATTCTAATACCCTAAACCCTAAACCCCAAGTCGAGTGCCCTTAAGCGCAACCCTAGACCCTAAACCCTAAACTGCCTGAAGCCCAGAAGCCATCGAAAACGAAGAGGCGAAGCTGGGTGCAGGAACAAAAGGAACAACGGTGCCTTAGTCGTTAGAACAGGATGCAACCCTAAACCCTGAACCCCTAAACCCGAAACCGCAGACCGTAAACCCCTATATCCCTAAACCCTACAGGGCGCCTTTATCAGAGCCCTTAAAAGGGGCCCTTTAGGGTGCTAGAAGGAGGGGTGAAAGTTTACATCATCGGCTGCTCTAAACGAAAACAGCTTCCGGACGGCCCTGTCTGCGATGCCTATGACGGCCAGTGGGGCGGTGGGGTTTCGGGCTTACGGTTTAAGGTTTAGGGTTGAGGGTTTACGGCTTAGGGCTTAGGGTTTTGGGTTTAGGGTTTCGGGTTTAGGGTTACGGGTTTCGGGTTTCGGGTTTAGGGTTTAGGGTTTAGGGTTTCGGGGATGTAAGGATATACGCCCTACATGCTAAAGTTACTCACTAACTCGAAGTCTTCCCCAATTCCTCAATCCTAAAGCCCGGATGAAACCGCCAACCCCCAAAGCGCTACTTGAACTCCAATAGAGCCTTAATAGAACTCTCTTTTGGAGAACCCTCTGAAATCCTAAACCTTTAAGGAACCAGCCTCCAGCCCGATTTAGGGCTTGGGGTTTAGTGCTCACTTAGAGAGCGAGGTGGGCTATGAAGCTGTACAGGCTGGGGTGGACGGGGTTTAGGGTTTAGGGTTTAGGGTTTGTATCCGCTGGCCTGACACCATCTGACTCAGGCCCTCGTGGAATATCCGAGCCATGTAACGACTGACTGTTGCCTCTTGGATGGGTCGGCTTAACTCCGACCTTACCACTGTCCAGGCACCGTCTTCAGAGAACCCGGGGATGCCCTATTCATCCGCCTGGTAGAACTCCAAACATTTTGCCAACAGAGCGGCTACTTGAAGGGTTCCGAACAGGTTTAGGGCTTAAGGGGTTTATTAGGTTTTAGGGTTTAGGGTTTAGGGTTTTCGGATCTATAGGGTTTCGGGTTTAGGGTTTAGGGTTTTAGGCAGCTGTTGAATGTTGGCGGTGTTGTCGAAAAGCTCGGAGTCTTTCACATCGGATCGACATTTCTAAGACTTGCCGTACAGAACTCCGCACCGCCTTTTTAGCATTCGCATGTTTTGCATGCTTGGTCCTTGGCACAAGTCCTTTCCCGAAACCAATGCTGAAAATGGAGCAAGGGTCTTCGCTACGTCCAAGTCTAATAAGGGGTGCAAGATTTCCTTCGCCACAATTAAAGTTTAGGGGCTTGGGATTCGGATCCAGGATTTTTAGGGCTGAGGGTTTAGTGTTTAGGGTTAGGCTGAGGGTTCAGGCTCAAGACTTTTGGTGTAAGACCCTATAAAGTCCTAAACTCTTAAACCCTACACCCTACCCCTAAACCCTAAATCCCTAAACTCCTAAACCCCTAAACCCCTAAAACCCTAAAACCACAAACCCCAAAACCCCAAAACCCCCAAACCCCTAAACCCCTAAAGGAAGCCTTGTAGAAGCCCTTGCTGCAAGGACTGCACTGCTGCAGGAGGGCATCGTAGCCGAAGCCTCTCAAGTCTGCCGGGCTTCTTTAGAGTTTTAGAGTTTTAGGGTTTAGGGTTTGGGGTCTAGGGTTTGGGGTTTAGCGGTTAGGGTTTGGGGTTTAGGGTTTGGGGTTTGGGGTTTAGGGTATAGGGTTTGGGGTTTACGGTTTAGGGTTTTCGGGTTTCGGGTTTAGGGTTTGGGGTTTAGGGTTTAAGGTTTGGGGTTTAGGGCCTCGGGTTTAGGGTTTGGGGTTTGGCACGCAGGCAACAGGCGGTGTCGAGTGCATCGTACTATGGCGGTGGGCTGCGAAAGCCTGTCTGTAGAAGGTGTTTCCCTTTATTCTTTCCCACCCCACGCCGTATAAGGTGGCCACACAACCCGATCCTATTTAGGGCTTCGGCCTAATCTCATGCGATCCATTGTGCGGGTGTTCAGCAGTTTAGTTCTGTTTTAAGCGCCTGATGTGTGCTTTGAGGTTAAGGGTTAGAGGTTAGGGTTTTTGGGCTTGAGGTTTAGGGTTTAGTGGCTTCAAGAGCATGTGTATACAGCAACATAGCAGCAGTATGCAGTATGAGGTAACATGTGCATGCTTTGAGTATGTACGTGTGCACCTGTGCATGTGTGTACATTATATATATATATATGTGTGTGTGTGTGTGTGTGTGTGCGTGCGCGTGCGCGCGCGTGTGTGCGTGCGCGCGCGCGCGGGTGTGTGTGTGTGTGGGTGGGTGTACTGATTTTTTAAGCTTTCCTCATTGGGAGAGAAGCCTCCTCGACTCGCAGGGAACCGGGAGCCCAACTTCGGGGAGGATGCTTCGTGGCTGGGGTTCTATGATGGGTTTAGGGTTTAGGGTTTAGGGTCTAAACCATTCTATAACTGGATGCTATGGTTTCTACGATGGATCTTTAGGGTTTAGGATTAGGGTTTAGGGCCTAAAAGTTTAGGGTCTAAACAATTCTATAAGGGCTCTATAGAGATACCGCCCCCAAAACCTCTGTTTAGCATCGAAACATAAACAGTGGCCCAAACCACCGCTTGGCAGTAAGAAGACCGAAGGAGCCAAAACGCTAACCATCCAAATTTAAACCCTAAGCCCAAAGCTCTCAGGAGCTCAATCCCGCGGCCCCTTCAGTTCGAAAACCCTGGTTAAAGCCATACACCCCCAACCCTAAAGCGTGAGGAGCCCAAAACCCGACAACCCCCTCAGTTGTAAAGCCTCCCTACCCCCAGTTCCGAGTTTCGGGCTTTTAAACCCTAAACCCCAAACCCTATGGGGTTTAGGTTCCCCACCTGGGCCACACCGGCACTCCTCCGCACTCAGCACTGCCACCCCTGGGCCAGGATTTCAAAAGCTGTCAGAAGCTTCAGAACCCTCCAGCCGCAACCATCCGAAAGCCTGTTCGAGGATCAGGGCTGAAGCAAGTGGACAATCGCGAAGATAAGCGCTCAAAGCCGCATCCCTCGATCCTTTAGGAGGGTCCTGAAATCACTGAAAGCCACAGCGAAGTGCATCTTCGTCCGCTCAGTTTTCTCACGCACCTGCCGCAGGTCACCCCCGGTACCACGACATCTAGAAGTCTAACAAATATCATTTCTGAGCTCGCACTAGGCGTCAACATCACCATGCTTTTGCACGACACCTAGTGCCCGGCGAACACAAGAGACTGCACAACTTGCAAATTATACATGCCGCCAAAAGACGCCAAGTCCACGGCCGACATCTCTGGTGAATCAAGCACTGACATGACTAGATTGGGATTGGCTCGGGCTTCCAAGAGTAGATCTACGATGCCTACATGGCCATAGAAAGCCGCGTGATGGAGAGCGGTCATGCCATCATCGTCACCTGCATTGATGTCAACCCCAGCACCACTGTGCAGGAGCACTTCTATGATGTCTCCATGACCTGCCCGACATGCCGAGTGGAGCACAAACTCCCTGCAAGGACCAAATTCCAACAGGAAGCGTGTGACTTCGACGAGGAGAGATCGAGGAAAACAGACTACTGAACTTCGGCTGGCATGCAGCAGCAAGACCACGTCCAAACGACCTGCTCGAAATGTGGCATCCCATGCTGCACTGCCGAAGAACCCAGCGAGATCCACACCCAAGCATCGGCTTGCCTCAGCCGTCAAAAGCAGCTGCACAATGTCTGAATGACCACGACAGGATGCTTTGTGAATTGGGGTCTCAGCATAGTTGTCCATCAAGCTGGGAATCGCAGCTGCCTTTAGGAGCAACCGAACAACGATTGAGTAGCCGTAGTAGGCAGCTCTGTGAACTGGTGCTGTTCCGTCGGCGGCAGTTGAATTGGGGTTTGCCCTGGAACGCAAGAGGAGCCGAACTACGTCTGGTTGACCACCGATGGCTGCCCAGTGCAGCGCTCGCCTCCCGTCAACACTGCATGAGCCCTCAATTCGTGCCTTGGCATCCACAAGCAAAGCTGCAAGGGAACCATGGCCATGGTAAGATGCATATCCCAGAGCAGTCGTGCAACCACTCTCTGACAAGTCCTTGTCGTTTGCAGCTTCTAGCAGCACCCTTGCCATGTCCACATCTCCTGCAGAAGACGCCCAGTCAAGAGCTGTCATGCCGAAACGATCCGGAAGTGTTGGGTTCACGGGATGTTGCAGCAACTTTTCAACCTGCGACACATCACCATCGAGAGCTGCATGCGTGAGCATGGCGATCTGCATCTCGGTAGGAGCTACAAGAGGGAGGAACTCAAGCTGAACATCGCCGAGGCCGTTCAGGTTAGCATTGTCATGCAGGACAATGCACCCATGAAGAAGCCTCTGGCGAAAGCGTGAGTACCCAGAGACTTCGTAAATGTGCCGCTTCAACTCAATTACCTTGATCATATCTCCGATGTTGTCCACGACCAGCTCTTCCCCAGAAAGCTTCCAGACACGCATCCTTGGGTCGTGCCTATTCACGCGAGCGCCTCTGGAATGAGTAGCTGGAGTAGCTCGCAGGGAATCGCGAAGAGCCACTTACTTGCAAAGACTCCGGAAGACAGGGCCGAAACACGCAAGGGCAAGAAACACCCGGACCATAGCAACTCAAACACACTCTGAATACGTAACCCCTCTGCTGGTTTCTCAAACTCATGTGCAACTACTGCATCGTGAAAACCCTAAACCCTGCAGCTAAACCTTAAAATGCTCAGCACCTAAAGCCTGAACCTTAAACCGTACACCCTGAACACACCCCTGGCACGTCCAAAAGCTATTGAAATTGAAATTAGCCCTAAACCCGAAACCCCCAAAAGTAAGTAAAATAATGGCCCAAGACCCATAAGAAGGCTATTATCTTGCATACTTTTGGGGTTCAGGTAAATTTAGAATCCTAAAGTAATCCCCTACTTAGGGGCCTATGGGTAAGCCCGAAACCTTAGACGTTTCCGACTCAGAATTGAAAGTCGCGGAAGCTCTCAGGCCCCCAGTCGATCAAGCCTGTTTGGTCGATGTTTAGGAGTTTCTGGGGTTTAGGGTTTAGGCGCTTCTGGGGTTTAGGGTTTAGGCGCTTCTGGGGGTTTAGGGGTTTCTGGGGTTTAGGGTTTAGGGGTTTAGGGTTTAGGGGTTTAGGGTTTAGGGGTTTAGGGTTTAAGCTTTAGGGTTTAGGGTTTAGGGCTTGTGGGTGTTAGGCAGCATGGTTTAAAGTTTAGAGTCAGGGAGGGGTCAGGAAATTAGAGACTCCAGTTTAGGGTTTAGGGTTTAAGGCTTAGGGTCCTTTCCTGTCTATGCTTGTGATCATGAACGGCGACTGGTCCACAATTTATACGAAACCCTGGACCCCAAAAACCCTAAACCCCACTTGAATATGCAGGAACTGCCACTTTGACCCCGAAAACCCTAAAACGCCCACAGGGTTTGCGGAGTTGGAGTTCAGGCATTTTGAGACCGAGGGTTTCTTTGGGATTAGGTTAGGCTTTAAGGTTTTTTCGACCCCGGGGTAAGCCCCAAAACCCGAGCTACCAGTACATTCCCTGCCGGCCTGGTGGAATTGCTTTGCTTTCTGGGCACCTCGCGCAGGGAGTTCAGGGTTTAGAAGGGTTTAACGAGCTAATTGTTTCGGGTTTCGGGTGAGCTGGAATTTTGTCAAACGAAAGGCTCGGTCGAACACCTGCTGAACTCAGCTGCTGACTACCTTCTCCAACATCCTCAATGCAACCCAAACGCTGAACCGTATGGCGTGGCATAGGAACTATGCATACCGATTGAATTCTTTGCAAAACCAACTTCCTCAAAACAGCGCTATGGAACCCTCCTGGTAAGTCTTAAGAAGATCTGACAAAGGCACTCACCATATCTATTATTTCTTCTACAGTTCTGACTCATTATGGAGTTGTGCAGCATTGCAACAATGTGAACGCCGAGCTTACTCTGAAATTGCTCTTTTTCAGGGTTTCGGGCTCAGGAATTTATGGCCTTTGAGCTTTCGGACTGTAATGGCTATAGTAGTACTACACTTGCACTTGCAAAAAAACGAGGACCACAACGACTTGATGCTAGTACTCCTGGCAACTGCAGCTAGCCCTGGTACAAGTACAAACAGCCGTCCCGTTACGAGTTGTGGCGGAAGCTGTACGCATAGCACGAGCACGAAGTATTGATTGAACTGTAAACACTAATTAAGCCTGGAAACTCGCAGCGCCAGTACCACACTCGGGGGCTTTATTAACCAAGTCAGTCGACCACGGGCCTTGTTTACAGAGAGGCCTCATCAATAACTCTTTTGGAACAAGACTTCTTCAACCCCTGCCC